AGTCCAGTTCGCTTTGTTGTGTCTTCAAATACTTTGTAAAGGGTTCCCATTCATCTTTAAAGTCACAGTTATCCTTGTCCCGTAGCTTATATGTCAGTTTTGCCAGTTCTGCATAGTCCATCAATTTTTCTTGCCATGATTCTTTAGTTGGGGTTTCTTCAGTCTTCCATCCTTGTGCTATTAAAACTCTCGCGGCCATTGTCGCATACATGAAGATGTTTTTCAGCTTTTTTGGCAGATCTTTCCCTACTATCCCTAATAAAAATGCTTCAGGTTTTTAAACAAATGTTAAATAGAACATTTTCTTCAATTCGTTGTATATCATTTCCCAAAAAAATTTAATTACCTTACAATCCCACCACATATGATAAAATGTCCCCTCCTTTTCCTTACACTTCCAACATATGTCTGAACTAGTTTTGTACATTTTCCCTAACTGCACTGGTGTTATGAATTTCCTACTAGTTCAAGAACTAGAAGATCTCACCTCAGAGTTTTGGTTCTGCACTCCATTAGTGCCTGTGCTGGACTTGACCCTTTGATGGGGTATTTTTTATGGGCCAGGGGTGACCAGTAGGGGTCAAATTCTGAGGTTACAGCTTTGTTGTTTTAACAACAGGTTCCACTGCTCTGTAGATATGCTCTGGAGTAGGTAAACTGATCAAATTCCCTAACGCTGTGCAACTACCCTGAACTCTTCACATGTGAACCTGGGTCCATTGTTACTGACAACTGCGCTTCTAGCTTCTGGGTATGCTCTCTGTCTCCTGCATCTGGTAGACTTTCAACCACCCAGAAGTTGGAGTACAGTGGTACCTCGGGTTACATACACTTCAGGTTACATACGCTTCAGGTTACATAAGCTTCAGGTTACAGACTCCGCTAACCCAGAAATAGTACCTCGTGTTAAGAACTTTGCTTCAGGATGAGAACAGAAATTGTGCTCTGGTGCCGCGGCGGCTGCAGGAGGTCCCATTAGCTAAAGTGGTGCTCCAGTTTAAGAACAGTTTCAGGTTAAGAACGAGCCTCCAGAAGAGGAACAGCCATTTTAGATCTGGTCCTAACCAATGTTGATGACCTGGTTAGTGGGGTAGAAGTGGAAGGATCATTAGGCGCGAGTGATCATGCTCTTCTGAAGTTTACTATACAGCGGAAAGGAGCAGCCAAGCATACTAGGACTCAATTTCTTGACTTTAAGAAAGCCGACTTCATAAAACTTAGGGAAGTGCTGGGTGAGAGCCCATGGACAGTAATACTAAAAGGAAAGGGAGTTCATGATGGCTGGGAGTTTGTTAAGAGGGAGATAGTAAAAGCACAACTTCAGGCAATACCAATGAGACGGAAACATGGAAGGTGCCTAAAGAAGCCAGGGTGGCTATCTAAAGAACTTTTAACTGAGTTAAGATTAAAAAGGATGTGTACAAAAATGGAAAGTGGGGAAACCACCAAAGAGGAATTCAAACAAATAGCCAGCACGTGTAGACACAAAGTCAGAAAAGCTAAAGCACAGAATGAACTCAGGCTTGCTAGAGAGGTTAAAAGCAACAAAAAAGGCTTTTATGGGTATGTTCGTAGCAAAAGGAAGAACAAAGAAACAGTGGGGTCACTCAGAGGAGAAGATGGTGAAATGCAAACAGGGGACACAGAAAGGGCTGAACTCCTCAATGCCTTCTTTGCCTCAGTCTTCTCCGATAAAGAAAACAATGCCCGACCTGAAGAATTTGGAGCAAATGATTCAGCAGAGGAAACACAGCCCAGAATAACTAAGGAGATAGTACAAGAATACTTGGCTAGTTTAGATGTATTCAAGTCTCCAGGGCCAGATGAACTGCATCCAAGAGTATTAAAAGAACTGGCAGAGGTGATCTCAGAACCACTGGCAGTCATCTTTGAGAATTCCTGGAGAACAGGCGAAGTCCCGGCAGACTGGAGGAGGGCAAATGTTGTCCCTATTTTCAAAAAGGAGAAACGAGAGGACCCAAATAATTACCGCCCAGTCAGTCTGACATCAATACCAGGGAAGATTCTGGAGCAGATCATTAAGCAAACAGTCTGTGAGCACCTAGAAAGGAATGCTGTGATCACCAATAGTCAGCATGGATTTCTGAAAAATAAGTCATGTCAGACTAACCTGATCTCGTTTTTGACAGAATTACAAGCCTGGTAGATGAAGGGAATGCAGTGGATGTAGCCTACCTTGATTTCAGCAAGGCATTTGACAAGGTGCCCCATGATATTCTTGTAAAGAAGCTGGTAAAATGCGGTCTTGACTATGCTACCACTCAGTGGATTTGTAACTGGCTGACTGACCGAACCCAAAGGGTGCTCATCAATGGTTCCTCTTCATCCTGGAGAAGAGTGACTAGTGGGGTGCCACAGGGTTCTGTCTTGGGCCCGGTCTTATTCAACATCTTTATGTTGGATGTTGGACTTGGATGATGGACTCAAGGGCATCCTGATCAAATTTGCAGATGACACCAAACTGGGAGGGGTGGCTAACACCCCAGAGGACAGGATCACACTTCAAAACGACCTTGACAGATTAGAGAACTGGGTAAAAACATACAAGATGAATTTTAACAGGGAGAAATGTAAAGTATTGCACTTGGGCAAAAAAAATGAGAGGCACAAATACAAGATGGGTGACACCTGGCTTGAGAGCAGTACATGTGAAAAGGATCTAGGAGTCTTGGTTGACCACAAACTTGACATGAGCCAACAGTGTGATGCGGCAGCAAAAAAGCCAATGCAATTCTGGGCCTCATCAATAGGAGTATAGTATCTAGATCAAGGGAAGTAATAGTGCCACTGTATTCTGCTCTGGTCAGACCTCACCTGGAGTACTGTGTCCAGTTCTGGGCACCACAGTTCAAGAAGGCCACTGACAAACTGGAACGTGTCCAGAGGAGGGCAACCAAAATGGTCAAAGGCCTGGAAACAATGCCTTATGAGGAATGGCTAAGGGAGCTGGGCATGTTTAGCCTGGAGAAGAGGAGGTTAAGGGGTGATATGATAGCCATGTTCAAATATATAAAAGGATGTCACATAGAGGAGGGAGAAAGGTTGTTTTCTGCTGCTCCAGAGAAGCGGACACGGAGCAATGGATCCAAACTACAAGAAAGAAGATTCCACCTAAACATTAGGAAGAACTTCCTGACAGTAAGAGCTGTTCGACAGTGGAATTTGCTGCCAAGGAGTGTGGTGGAGTCTCCTTCTTTGGAGGTCTTTAAGCAGAGGCTTGACAACCATATGTCAGGAGTGCTCTGATGGTGTTTCCTGCTTGGCAGGGGGTTGGACTCAATGGCCCTTGTGGTCTCTTCCAACTCTATGATTCTATGATTCTATGATTCTATGATTCTATGATTCTAGTTTGCCATTCACAATTTTGTCCCTGATCACAGAATCTTCTAGCTCTCCAAATGTACACGTGCTCACTAAAGTTCACAGCAGTGTCACATAGTTATCTAATCCTTCTCTTTCCTGCTGATTTCTTTCAAAGAATTTATCTCTCGTTGCATTTTGGATAACAGTAGGCCTATAAAGCTGCCAGAAGAGCAGAGAGTGCTGAGAACCGGTGCTGAGCTTCAGGCTAGTTCACAGCTTTCTACTTTGCTCCCCAATAAGGTAAAATAAAAGTTTCTTTTTCCCAATTTCTTTTTCCTTAGGCATGGTCAGACCTATATAGAGCTCAAACTTCTGCTTCCAACAGGTCAATTCCTGAGCCAAGATCTTAGCTGCAATATCTGCACCCATTCGCTCTAGAGACATCAGTACATATGGTATATCTGTGAGTTGCAAAAATTTCTCCAGAATGGCTGCCACCAGTTTTCATCAAGACAAGATATTTTCTAAGTTCTGTATGGAGTCACACACCACTGTCTTCTCAGTGTCCGGCTCCTGCGCACTTCCATTTGTGCCTAGATTTCTAGGAACAGATCCATGATTTGTAGGCACGGGTCTGAGTGGCTTTCCTTTCCCCCCCACCACTTTCCCTGGGGGAACCCACTGAATTGGAACATATATGAATCTGATGAAAGTCCAATAGCTGTTTGTTCTGATTCAGTGGTAAACAGTGGGTTTTCCTGGGGGAAACAGTGGGACCAAAAAGGGGAAGTGAAATTCCGTTTGGACCCACCCTACCCATACCCCGACCTGGCCACAGTGATCCATGTGACGGTCACCTCCAGGCTTGACTACTGTAATTCGCTCTACGCGGGGCTGCCCTTGAAGCTGTCCCAGAAACTCCAGCAGGTGCAGAATGCTGCAGTGAGGCTCCTCACAGGGTCTCTGCCATGGGAGCATATTCACCCAGTGCTTTTCCAGCTGCACTGGCTCCCGGTGGAGTACAGGGTCAGGTTTAAGGTGCTGGTTTTCACCTTTAAAGCCCTTCACGGTCTAGGACCCTCGTACCTACGGGACCACCTCTCCCAGTATGCCCCACGGAGAGCCTCAAGGTCCATATATAGCAACACCCTAGAGGTCCCTGGCCCTAAGGAAGTTAGATTAGCTTCAACCAGAGCCAGGGCCTTTTCAACTCTGGCTCCAGCATGGTGGAACGCTCTGCCTCATGAGACCAGGGCCCTGCAGGATCTGATTTCTTTCCGCAGGGCCTGTAAGACAGAATTGTTCCGCCAGGCCTTTGGCTCGGAGCCAATTTGATTCCCCCCCTTTCTTTTTCCTTTCTTCTCCTGTGATGAGGCTGCATTTTAATATTCTAATGTTTCAATATTTTAATGTTGTATTTTAATCTTGTTTTTAAGTTGTATTCATTCAACTTGTTTTTATTATTGCTTGTTAGCCACCCTGAGCCCGGCCTTGGCTTGGGAGGGCGGGGTATAAATAAAAATTATTATTATTATTACAAAATACAGACCTGTGCCTAGAAATCATGGCACAAACAAAAGAGTGGATGACCCCTCAGTTGTATTACTCGTAATACAGGACCTGCAAAAGAATGTAGTGTGGAGTTCAGGAAACTCCAGGCCAGCCCCCCTCTCTCTGTAGCTCAGTGGTAGAACATCTGCTTTGCATGCTGAAGGTCGCAGGTTCGGTCCCCAGTATTTCCAATTAGGGCTGGGAAAGATTCTCTGTTGGAAACCCTGGCTATCCACAGCCAGTCAGTGGCGATAATATTGAAGCAGATGAACCAGTGGGTGTGACCTCTCAGGTGCCTGGGCATGACTAAGCCACTTCTGGCTTTTGAAACCCCAAACCATAATAAATGCATCCATGGAAAAACAATGTAATAAAATCAGGCGCGCGCACACACACACACACACAAAAGATGAGTGGAGCATAATTTGAATATTTTTTATTTAACAAATGCTTTTTCTGTGCAAATCTTGAGGGTTAAATCTTGCTTTCATGCAATATCACAGCTGATGTTAAGCAGGCGATAAAATCTGTAGCAGTTAACAAAAAAGGCTTTGTCTTTTACCAAATCACATCTCTTATTTGCTTACATTCGCAGCTCCAAGTTGAAAGAGTGTCTTACAACTGATCTGATGCGCTATTAAAAAAGTTGCAGAACTTATACATTTTTTAAAAAACCAAAAGGGGCCCCTTTTGCTTGAGGCGCTGGGCCAAACGCCCTCCTGCTCCACCCCTGGTTGGCCCTGGGTCTAACCCAATGTAAAGCAACTTCTTCCATTCCATCTACCCACCCACTGGGCAGTTTTTGGATCTCCTTCACCCTTCCTTTAGCCACTTTTGACTTAAAAATTATTTTGTCCTTCTGGAAACCTTGGAGTTAGAATTGGGGCTTTCTACCTCACAGGAGAAATTCTCACACCAAATCAACCACATCAGTTCCTACTGAATTTAATGGGTATTATTCCCAAGCAAGTGGGGTTAGGACTAAAGCCTGAGCAACCAACTCAAAATAAGGTAAACTCCTAGATTGTCCTGTGGCTTAATAAATAACACCATATCATGTCGGGGAAATTGTATTTTTAACATGAGCCACTGATGATAACGCAATCTTGAGATAGCAATATGCTCTGAGGAAATCCGAAGACCTAAGGAAAAAGATTCCAGTTTTGTTTTTTTGTTTTTCCCCCTTCTGAGACAATATCCCAGCAATGGGCCTGGATAACCTATGGCTTTCTGCAAGCTGAAGGCACCTTACCAGCAACTAGGAGTAGTAAAGGTAAAGGTAAAGAGACCCCTGACCATTAGGTCCAGTCGTGACCGACTCTGGGGTTGCGGCGCTCATCTCGCTTTATTGGCCGAGGGAGCCGGCGTACAGCTTCCGGGTCATGTGGCCAACATGACTAAGCTGCTTCTGGCAAACCAGAGCAGCGCACGGAAACACCGTTGTACCTTCCCGCCGAAGCGGTACCTATTTATCTACCTGCAATTTGACATGCTTTCAAACTGCTAGGTTGGCAGGAGCTGGGACAGAGCAACGGGAGCTCACCCCGTCGCGGGGATTCGAACCGCTGACCTTCTGATTGGCAAGTCCTAGGCTCTGTGGTTTAACCCACAGCGCCACCCGCATCCCATTAACTATGAGGAGTAGTCCTGAGGAATTCAGTGAACTTAACAACAAACATCAACATCTTCACCGTCATGACAGGATTCCCAAAGACATTACATAGGGGAAAGTAAACTTACTTTTGGGACTACAAAACTAAATGGCTTTTCAGGCACATGACAGACCCTCATGCAACAAGAAAAAAACATGGCTGACAGACTTTGCTTGGCTTGGTGGATCAAAAGTTGTTCAGGCCTGAATTGGAACATGAAAATGGCATGTTTAAATATGATTCCAATTTTTTGTGACTTAATAACAGAAACGATGTCTTTATAACAGGAAACTCGATTCTCCCTTCATTCACTGCTAGGTCTTTCCAGCAAACTCCACTTGGCTTTTCCATTCTGACGTAATTTTTTCCATCTCTGTTTCTCCCTGGTCTGTGGAGGAAACGGGCCACATTGGAACAGGCCCATGTCTTAGACAGCACACATCTCGTATCACTCATTTCCTCTCCTCTGCCTAGCAAATTACTAAAACACCCCACATGGTGAAACATTAACTTTATGATTTGAAAGGGCTCATTTGGTTTAAACTACAACAGCTTTAGTAGTGGTGGTGATGTGAGAGGAGCACAGCTGCACTGTGATGTAATTAAGTCCCAGGCAAGCTGCTTTATATTTGACTGAAGAGGATTAGGAAGCAAACTTGCCACAATGTTTGTTACTTTAAGGCTGGGTTGCTGCAACGCACTCTTATGTGGGGCTTCCCTTGCACTTGATCTGGAGGCTGCAGTTAGTGCAGAATGCTGGAGCACGATTGCTGACAGACTGTCTCACCAGAGTGGTACATACTCTAGTTATCTCCTGATTGGACTACTGCAGTGCACTTTATGTGGGGCTGCCTTTGAAGGTGACTGTCACAGTCTGGTCTACGGGTGATCAAAGTCCCAGCTGAGGATGTCGGGACCGGGGGCAAGATGGCGGGGTGGGAGCAGGAACGAGAGTCCAGAAGCCAGGAGTCCAAGGGTCAGGAAGCAGGGAGTCACAAAGTCAAGGGTCCGAGGGTTGAGAAGCAAGGAGTCAAGAAGCTGAGGTCAAAGGATCAGGAAGCAAGAAGTCAAACGCAGGAAGGCAGGAAACGTGTTGCTGTGGAAAAGAGCCGAAGGACAATGCTGACCTTATATCCCTTCCCGGCTCTAGCCACCAGGAGAATCCCTTCTCACAAGTTACCAAGCAGCCTCATCTGTGTGGCCACGCCTTGCCTCTCCAGAACAAATTTAGGAAGGCCCCAGTCCTGCAAAGCCCTACTGGTCACAGGGCCCCGCTCCTGCACGCAGTCCTGACAGTGACTCAGAAACTACAACTAATTCAGAATGTGGCAGCTAGACTGGTGACTGAGAGTGGACGGCGAGACCATATAACATCGGTCCTGAAAGACCTATATTGGCTCCCGGTACGTTTCCGAGCACAATTCAAAGTGTTGGTGCTCAAGCGATACATAGATTTTACAAAACTGACTAAGGGAAACTGGGGAATCTCACAAGAATATAGGCCAAGTTAACTGTGAAGGACAACAGACTTGATGGGGCAAAAACACCATGTGAGTCACATTGGACCATAGATGTTCTACCGGTGATTTGTAATCAACATAGCAGTGCAACAATCCTTTTTTAATTATACTTCTTATAAGAGAAAGAGAGAAAATTGGGGAGAAGAGAGGGAGTGAAGCAGGGAAAGAATAGGAGAAAGACAAATAAAAAGGATGACATACCTACACTGCAAATGCCCCCCTCCAAAAAAACCCCACCCACTTGAACTGCCAAAACTTCTCTTCAATAAATCCTGGGAATGATAGATGCATGGAGGGTTTCTTAGTTAAGAATCCCTTCTCACAAGACAACTGCTCCCACAGCCCCCTGAAGGGAGGACATTCTTATTAGTTTAAACAAAGTTGTGGTTTGGGATGAGGAAATACATCAGCTTTGGTTTCCCTCTAGTTTCTTCCAACCTTATGTTCAGTTCCCCACATTTCCATATCAGTTTGTGGTTTTTTTTAAAAAAAAATAGTCTCATGAAAATGTATGAACATTTTAGTGTGAACGTTTCATGTGTCTTTTTGTAGGCAGCTTTGCCTAACTTGCATATTTTTCAAAAAGAAAGTTCCCTGATTTTGGTATGTTTCATTCACTAATATATGCATTTATATGCACAGTTTAGCCTACTATTTGCATTGTTTTTCTCTTACTTGCTGTAGAACTAGAATTGCAAAATTCAGAGGCATGTGAATTTCGAAACTGGTTGTATTTCGGTTCTTGGACTATTTTGGAAAGTGCTAATTTGGCACGTTTGCCTCCAAATGTGAACTGGGTTGAATTTCTGAACTGCACGCTTTGCAAAGGTCGGTCTTGCAGCACCTTGGTCTGCTGAGTCTGCAGTGGGAAGGAATCCATCCATGGGAGGTAGCCACTGAGAAACCTTCTCTTCACACCCTTGCTGTTCATGATAGGAAGGGATGGTATTATTAAGTGGTACTCCTAGAATCAGAGTTTTGAAGGGACTCCAAGGGTTATCTAGTCCAACCCCCTGCAATGCAGGAATATTTGCGATGTGGGGCTCTTTTGCCCCATATAGGGATCAAACCCATGACCCAGAGATTAAGAGTCTCACACTGTACCAACTGAGGTACCCCAGTCATACTTTACCCTAAAGTATGCTGCACCTAACAGCAAATTGTTCTGGCCAACACAGCTACCCAAACCTGTATTGGCTAAAGGATGGGTAGGCAAACTAAGGCCCGGGGGCTGGATCCGGCCCAATCGCTTTCTCTATCCAGCCCACAGATGGTCCGGGAATGAGCGTGTTTTTACATGAGTAGAATGTGTCCTTTTATTTAAAATGCATCTCTGTGTTATTTGAGGGGCCTGCCTGGTGTTTTTACATGAGTAGAATGTGTGCCTTTATTTAAAATGCATCTCTGGGTTATTTGTGGGGCATAGGAATTCGTTCATCCCCCCCCAAAAAAATATATATATATAGTCTGAGGGACAGTGGACCGGCCCCCTGCTGAAAATGTTTGCTGACCCCTGGGCTAAAGTATTTGGGGGAGAGTATTTGTATGGTAGGTTTAAGTATCTGGAATGGGTGTTTTACTCTTTCCCTTCTACTGCATCTCCCTCAAAGAGCTTCCCCACCCCTCTGGCCAGGTGTCCTTCTTGCTGGGTTTATGCCCAGCCTCAGAAGACAGATGAACCCTATCAAGTGATCTAAGGAAGAAAGCAATAAATAAATACATAAAATACATACGTCCACTACAAAGCGGCAGGTGTTGCTTGCGTCAAGCAGAACCAACTAGTTGTCAAGGGCCAGTGAGAATGAAATGCACATGTCTCCCAAGTTAATAGCAAAAGTCCCCATTGATTTCAGTAGATGTGGATTGCACCCACAATAGCCCCATTGCAAGTGTCCCTTGGAAACACAGCAGCCCAGAGAACCATCCGCTTTGTGTCTTGGAGATAAAAGGAGCAGTACTGGGCAGAGTGTTACAAAGGGTCAAGGTCAGGTGCTGGTCATCTTTTGTTTTTACTGCTATGGCCTTCAAAGTAAGTGAGAAAGACTGACTCATGGCTAGCACTGCCACTCTATAAAGCATAGTCGACAGTGTGATGTGGGACAACCCAACGAAACACAAGACCTTGGCTTGAGACCAGTTTCTCGAGAAAGAAGCTTACAAAGAGACTGACTGACACCCTAACATGTTCATTGGAAAATATGTCCAATCAGTTTTATCTGTACAGTGGTCCCTCGGTTAAGTACTTAACCTGAAACTGTTCTTAACCTGAAGCACCACTTTAGCTAATGGGGCCTCCTGCTGCTGCCGCGCTGCCAGAGCACGATTTCTGTTCTCATCCTGAAGCAAAGTTCTTATCCTGAAGCACTATCTCTGGGTTAGCAGAGTCTGTAACCTGAAGTGTCTGTTACCTGAGATACCACTGTATTTGGCTTAAACCCGGCTTAACTAGATTCTGAAGCAGGCTTTAGAAGGCCTGTCCATTCAATCTGCAACAGGGTTTAAATACAACATTCAGAGCAGAATCTCTCTTTGTGTGTGCCAGCCACACACTCAAAAGGCCTGGTGCCTTTCTGAGCATGTGTACACCACAGTACATTGGCCATGATCCCAAATTTGAAGCCAGCCTTCTTCTGATTTCCCACATCCAGGCACATCCTCTTCAATAAAGGTTTCAAATTCCCAAGTTCCATCAGCCCAAACCAGCTTAGCCAATGATTGGGGTTTTAGTCCAACACCTTCAAGGTTGGGGAAAGTTGACATAGGCCACATCCGCACTTTCCATTTAAAGCACCATGTTACCACATTACCAGTCTTTGCTTCCCCCAGAGAATCATGGGAACAGCAGTTTGTTAAAGGTACTGAGAGTTGTTAGGAAACCCAAAGCCAACCTCCTCGTGGGGCTACAAGTTTCAGTGTAGTTTAACTATCAATCCCTCTTTGTGGGAATTGTAGTTCTGTGAGAAGAATGGGGGTCTCCTAACAGCTCTCAGCACTCTTAACAAACTACAGTGGTACCTCAGGTTACAGACGCTTCAGGTTACAGACGCTTCAGGTTACATACGCTTCAGGTTACAGACTCCACTAACCCAGAAATAGTGCTTCAGGTTAAGAACTTTGCTTCAGGATGAAAACAGAAATCGTGATCCAGCGGTGCTGCGGCAGCAGGAGGCCCCATTAGCTAAAGTGGTGCTTCAGGTTAAGAACAGTTTCAGGTTAAGTACAGACCTCCAGAACGAATTAAGTACTTAACCTGAGGTACCACTGTACAGTTCCAAGGGATGAAGCCATGACTGTTGAAGTGAAATCAGAGTGCTTTAAAGGCATGGTGTGGCCATTCTGTAACATACAAGTTTTACAGAGTAAAAAAAAGGGGGGACATGGATGGCGCTGTGGTCTAAAGCACTGAGCCTCTTGGGCTTGCGGATCAGAACGTTGGCGGTTCAAATCCCTGCGACAGGGTGAGCTCCCATTGCTCCTGCCAACCTAGCAGTTCGAAAGCATGCCAGCGCAAGTAGATAAATAGGTACCGCTCTGGCGGGAAGGTAAGCAGCGTTTCCGTGCACTCTGGTTTCTGTCACGGTGTTCCATTGCACCAGAAGCAGTTTAGTCCTGCTGGCCACATGACCCAGAAAGCTGTCCGTGGACAAACGCCGGCTCCCTCGGCCTGAAAGTGAGATGAGCGCCGCAACCTCATAGTCAACTTTGACTGGACTTGTCAGGGAACTGACATCAGAGCTAGAGGCAGAGGGAAGGCTCTCAAATGATGCTGGAGAAGGGCCCAGCAGGGAGAGAGGCAGCTCCGCAGATGGGGAAGCAAATCAGCGCTACACCAGGGATAAGGAGGGGCTGATGGGGGAATCGGCGAGAGGGCTCCAGGACTCTTCACCGGACACCAGCGGGGAGAGCACTGGTCCTCCGCTACCCACGCCCACCCTGCGCGGAAGTCTTCTGCGCAGGGAGAGTAGGAGGAGACTGGGTGTCAAACAACTTTTATGTTGGAAAAGGTTTAAGAAACGCCCACTGGCGGATTCTGCTAGCGACTGAGGCAGCCACGAAGTGAAGGGCTGCCCAGACTGAAAGGTTTAGCAAGGCAACAAAGCCTGGAGAGGCGGCAACTTACGCACGAGCAACCCATACTCATTACAGGACTTAACCGTCCAGGGGTCCTTTACCTTTACCATTTTCCCTTTACAAAGAGTCTTAATTCCAAGACAACCCAATTTCCACCATGTTGCTTTCTTTTTAAAAAAAAAAAATGGAGGTAGGGAGATAGCATGCATGTGTTTCTATTGGCTAAGGCTCAAGTACAAAAAAAGGAAAGGGGGAAAGAATTTAGCTCTAAATGACTGTGGATCTTATATGTTTGTATATAGTTAGTGCAGTTCCACCTATGTCTACTCAGAAGAAAGGCCCATTAAATTTAATGGGTGCTTATGCCCAGAGAGGTGGGTATAGGATTGCAGCCTAAGATAACCAAAGAGTTAAAAAATATATAAAACCATAAAATGATATTTTTTGAACAATAACATTCCTACGATAGAAGTTCTTATCAGCGTGTTGCACTGTACTTGGCAAACAAGCCTTTTTACCTTTTAAACAAATAATTCATTAGGTAATTAAATTCAAGTGAGATTACTCTAATTAAATATACACTGCAGTGGAATCATAATTTCTATGTGGCCTAGTTAAAGATGAACGATCTCTTATTTCTGACAAAAAAGAGAGAGAGAGAGAAAGAGAGAGAGAGAAAGCTTTAAAAGAATTCCCCAGTGACTGGAATAATAGATTTATACACCATCGTGCAGAGGTCACCGCAAGAAAGGAGAGACACCAAACGCAACATAAAGAGACTTTTCATGTCTGGAGATACTAGAATTTCAGGTTTTATTGCTTGGAGTTCTATTAAAAGACTTTGTGGAACCTAGGAGGGAATCAAAATTATCTCTCCAGAGGCGATAAGTTATATAAATATGCGCGCAAACAGAAATGTATCTCTGAAGGTATTAGTTCTGCGTAATTTCCAGGGAGCAGCCAGCTAGGCCTCAGAGGAAACGGCACATCTTAAAATGTTTGGGAGGCTTACAGTGGCCAAAATGCAGCAGGACTTGAGTGAAATTAGAAGAACTTTGTAGCCTGTGCTGTGCTCTATGTCCTGGTTCCCTTTAATAGCATTAGGAGTTCAAACCATAAAGACTTTAATCTGGAGAGGAGAAGTTCCAGCTCTGGGCTTTGATCTCCTTCCTCTCGGCTGTTTCAAAGTGACAGTTTGGCTGAATGGCATTCGCCCCATCCATGTGTAAGACACGAGTCTCCTAGTGTTTGGCAGCTTGCTAGGAGCTACACCTGTACTGCAGGAATTTATGTCACATTGCTCCAGGATGCAATTGATCTGTGATGGCCGCCATGGCAATGCAAACTAATTTTAAAAAGTGCATTAGGAAGCCCAATCAGAATGATGGAGCAAAACAAATTTTACAAAAAAAAAACACCTAGTCCAGCTGGTATAGCAATTGTGTGCCTCTGGCCCAGAGAGAAAGAAAGCCGTTGGGGACAGCAGATACGTTTTTATTTTATTTTTAAAGCTAAGCAAAAAATATTTTTAAAATGTTCCAAACCTAGTAGAGATAATTTTAGACACAGAATGAAAATTATGTTGTTAATTAAAATGAGGTCTACAAAATAGTCACAGGTTTTTTTTTTTAGTTGAGTAGTCATCTGGCTTTAACAGATTATTAGGTGAATTGATTGATTACATTTTTAGAAACATGCATCTTAAGAAAACCTCAGTAGGTGTCCTTTTTTTTGAGATATCGAACAAAGTTCCCGGCTATACCTGCAGCCCCCCTCCCCTTGTTAAGAAGAGTGGCCATTTTTCATAGTTCCTTTGTGCTTGTTATTACAACAACACACTGCGATCAAAATTAGGTATGCTACTGAAATGCTCCTGATCCGAATTTAGATGCCTCAATTTACCTGATCTTGTTTCTGAACTGGAACCAATGGATTGGGAAGGAAACCTCAATTGTTTCATGTTTTTTTTGTTTTTTTTTAAAAAGACGCCTAGATATCTACATTGAGCTCAATAGTGGTTTCAGTTCCTTCCATTTGTGTGTGTGTGTC